TTGCTGTCGTTTTTTTTAGTTTCATCCTCCTGTTTCATAGTATCTTTGTTTGCATTCTTGGAAACAGATCTGATTTGCTTCTTCTTCTTCCTAGCAACTAGAGGTTTCTTCTTCCCTTCTCCTTCTTCATCACTGATCCATTCTGTTTCCTCTGGTAGTGGAAAAAGAGGAAATGATGACAACCTCGTTTGACAACTTTTGTTTCTAGAAGTCTTCTTGAACAACACAGGGTATGTTCCAACCGGCGCTGCCTTATCTTTTACTTTTTTCACATTTTCTGTTTGAGAACTTCCATCGCTCTTTGTGGATGTTTCAGTGATATTTTTCTTTCCATCAACTTCCAAATCGCTTGCGGAGGAATCTTCAAGAATTTGTTTCAAGAACTGAAATTTCTCTTTTCTTCTTGACTTCGGCATCATCGCAAAGCTAGTTCATATGCGGATTCGTCGTCGCATAAAATACCAATATAAGCAGATATTATTCAATTTTAAGCCGGCAAGCTTGCAATCATGGTCGCTACATCTGTTTTCTGAGGGTTGATCTCTCAAATAACTAGGGGATCAAAATATGGCGCTACATGTCTTGGTCGCTATGGAAACTAACCGATTGGGAACTGGAGAGGAGATTGCAAAATGGCGGCAAAGTAAGCTGCATGTGTTCTTTTTCGCGGATTCGTTGAATGGCAGAATCTGCGACAAATAACGACGAATTCTTCTACTTTACCGTCGAGGGTCTTCGATACGAAGGTTTGTGTGGGTTTTTAAGGGTGTTAAGTCCCAAAATCCTTTAATTTGGAGTTGGATTGATCTCCATTATCTACGTGAGCTCATACTTCGAGAGAATAAGCTGTTAAGAACGGTTTTCCTAGATGTTTTTGAAGTATATTTCACAATCGATCGATCTCTGATTAAGATTATTGTATGGCTGTCGATCAAAGTTTTATCTGCCCATCCAACTTAATGCTCTCTCGACAATCACGCGTCGCGCGATCGCCTAATTATTCTCACAAATAATTTGTCTTTCTCTTTTCCAATAATGTAGTTAAGGTTCTTTTATATTAAAACTGTAACTGACTTACCTAGTTTGATGCCACTTTTTAACAAAGCTGCCTTTGTTTTCGGGATTTGGGCCTAAGAACTGTTTCTCTGAAGAAAGACTTCATTGTTTGTTTCCAACTCCCTCTCAAAATAACACCCAGATCTCTCTCGTCTGAGTTTAAGATTTTTCTTTACAAATGTTAGGATTGTGCGGAATGAAGCTTCTGGGTTACAGTGGAAGAAGACATTTTACCTTGAGGCATTGCAGTAATATTGTGCTTATTAGAATTCTTTTTTCAAAGATCAATGGGCATATTTCCATGTAAAAATTGACTGATAATTTTAATTTTATTATCATTGATTGTGTTGGTCATAGCTGTTACCTACCTGCTCTGTATGTTTATTGTAAAGTGTCACAGGTACCTGCTGATAAATATTGTCAAATCACCCAACTTAGAAAGAAAAAATCAGATGTTTCATTCCACTGGTTTATTATAATTTTGTGTCCATTGATTGTTCTATGCTTCTGTGCTTGAGGAACTAGCGGACAGCACATGTTTTGACTGACCAGCAATGCGACTCTCACAGGTCAAAGATTGTGTGGAACACCTATCAATTGTTTGTTTGTTAGTCTGAGATAACTGTGATCTTCGTGTGTTCAAGACACTCAGGAACACCTCTATTGGAACAACAAAGACTGTCAGAATGATGGATTGATCTGGAGACTGGAAAAGAAGCTCTGCAATTGAAGAAGTTCATTTATAGAACCTACTTTTACCTCTAGTTTTTTTTTGAAATATCATGTTATGAGCTCATTGGTCAAATCTGTGGGACTATATTGATGGTAGGTTTTCTAAAATGGGTGTCTGTGGTATTCCAACTGTGAAACCCAAACAAGGAAAGCTTATGTACATTGGATTTATTTTATTTGGTGTTTTGATGTCAACACTGACATTTATACCAGCCTTTAGAAGATTCTTTGTGGTAAATTCTTGTTACTGTAGCAGAAATACAAGTCAAGGAAAATGTGATACTTTGGTGGGACACATTTTGCTGTACAGATTCTTCATTGGAATGATGGTTTTCTTTTTGTTCTTGGCGATAATCAACTGCCAGCTGACTGTGTTTACAACGTTCAGCCATTGGCTCGAGAATGGCTTCTGGTTCATAAAGTTTCATTTGTTTTGTTTGTGTGTTCTCTTGTCACTTCTCATTCCGGAAGGACACCTCAGTAATGCCATAATGCATGTTGGTTGGATTGGAAGTTTTATTGTGATGGTTATCCAGGCCATTTTAATCATTGATCTAGCAAAAGCTTTAAATGGTTATTGGGTAGAGAGAATGGAACTCTCAGAACGGCCAAAATGGTGGTATTTTTCAATGTTATTCTTCACATCTCTGTTATATACCCTTTCTTTAGCATTCATTGTATATTTCTATGCCACTTACACCATTTCAAAAGATTGTAGAACAAACTTAATTTTTATCACAACTGTTGTTTTGCTTTGTACTTTTGCATCACTTTTGTCAATTCATCCCAAAGTGCGAGAAACTGGACTCCTTCAAGCTGGCATTGTTACATCATATTCTGTTTATTTTGGTTGGACCTGTATGCAGCATTATCCTTATTCTGCCTGCAATCCTAGCTGGAATTTTTTAATCCTTACAGAGTTTAATTTTCACATTCAATTGAACATGATCTTTGACACTTTTGTGACATTTTCACTGCTCGTATACAGTGTACTTCATGAGGTATCTGTGCAGCATCTCCTAACAAACATCAATCCTTGTGCAGATTGCTGGAATCTTCAGTCACAAGTTGAGAATCATCCTTCGACTTCAGAGGAGAGCGAAGAAAAGCCACTGGTTACCTCAACATACCTTATGTTTTACCTTTTTCTTCTTTTGATATGCCTACACCTCTTGATGGTAATAAGCAATTATTACACTCCTGAAGGAATAGTCGGCACTGAAGATGAAGTACTGGAGACAGAATATGACAAACTCATTGACATGGATGAATATGTGAAGTCGTTAAGCCAGTGGGTTGCCTCCTGCCTGAAAATGATTGTGTGTGTTGTGTTCCTTCTCCTGTATATATGGACTATTCTATCGCCTGTTGTCTTACCAGCAAACAAGTAACTCCAGCCCACAATTTTACTACAATTTACTAAAAAGCAGCCTTAAGGTGATGGAAAAAGACAAACCTATCAGCTAGTTTAGTAATACTATCCAAATTTTCTCAACTAATTTGTTAAGAAATGAGTAGCAGCTGTTAAGGGGAATTGCTCAGAACATCAGATCTCCTGAGTTAAGGGGAAAATATTTATAATGATTTCTGATCAAAGCTCTAAGCTCAAATGTTTCCAAAGCCATTTTGGAACCTACATGAAAAATTGTAAATTGGTTTCCAAAATTAAAATTTTTTTCTCCAGGAAAAAAAACACGCTCATCACAACATTAATGATATACTAAACCACAAACAAACGTTTTTATCTGTGGATCAAGTGAGCAGTAAATGGTTGTTTGTGGTTTGCATTTAATTTCTTTTATATAGTTTAACAGAAAAGCTTGAGTGATATGTTATAAAATTTATAATTTCACTTTGATTGCAGACCATACAATATTTTCATAGACATATAATACTGTATGCTATATACTGACTTGCCCATTTTGATTATAAATATGAATTACACTATATATTATAATGCTATTAATAAGATACATAGAAAAATTACTCAGTTCTGATTGGTTAAGATAAATGCAATTTTCAGTAATTCAGTGGAGAAGAGAGTTAATTCAATGCAAATAAGTAACAAACCAGACTGAACAATTCCTTGAACTGTTTAGCTGGACTTTGAACTTTTTTGCACCTTAGAGATATGAAAATAGCATTGTATATTATTATTTTGATTGTACATAGTTGTTTTGACTGAAGGCACAATGTCACTTGCAGGATTTGAATAATAACCTGATTTGAAAAATAACGTGATGTGCACTTTGCCTCTGCATAATTATGATAAGCTATCTTGTATTTTTCATGTATCTTTATTATTAATAACATGTAATCACATGATTTTTCTTGTGCAATTTGGAATAAATAAGCACTTGTAAATTTTTTTGAAGACCATGAATTACACTGGCCCTACAGGCTCATGCAATTTTGTTAGTCTTTAAAAAAATTTACTTGCTCTTATTTATTCCAAATTGCACTAGTTAAAATTATCTGATTATCTAAATAAATTTAAAACTGTCAGTGATATTTGTAACTAGAGTATCATGACTGTATAGTTTATTTTCAATGATTGTGTTTTTTAATTTGGTGATAAATTAGTATAAAATACTAAATTGTGCATTTTCCTGGAGTACTTAGCAGTATATTTAATTTAAGGGTGAATGTTTTAAAAGCTAAAATGCACCCTTCACTCATGTTGTCAGTTTTTTTTTCAGTTGGTAGGTTTTTTAATATGGAAATAAAATTTCTATAATTTGACTTACTCCCTGCTTTTGTAGATCTTCCAGAACTTTCAAGTTGTACAGCACCATTCAACAGCGATGAAGGTGTTCCCTTCTTCTCTGGTAGGAGAAAATCTAGGAGACGTACTGGAAGACTGGTGACAGTAAATAACCAGAAGATTGCATTGCTCAAATATAAAGGAACAGTTCATGCCTTGGATGAAATGTGTCCACACATGGGTGAGTAGATGTGAGGGTCATTCCGTAAGATAAGATTAGATTAGATGAGATAATTTAGATAATGTCAAATTCATGGGGAGTGTTAAATCTCCATAGCCTAGGGCTCATGATATAAGTGTTTGAAAAGCTCAAACACTAAGGCATATACATGCTAAAAGCTAAGAAAATATGCAAGAATTATGAAGAAGGTCTAAAGACTACCATGCATTGCTTAAAGAAAATTTGTCATTGCAAAATGCAAACAGTTAATGAGAGTGCTCAAATTTATCAGGTAGAAGTTGCAATCTTGAGCTAACTCCAAATGCTGTAACTTATTTATGATGAAATATGTTGCAGCTAGAGGGGAGAATTAACAATCAGATCTTGGGAGTTAAAGGATGGATTGAATTCTGTTTCAATGCAGGTGGCCCTCTTCATCTTGGGGACATTGAAGAGCTGGGTCAGGCAGCCCTGCCATGCATTGTGTGTCCTTGGCACAGTTGGAAGTTTTCCTTAGAAAATGGATTTGTGAAAGATCCTGCTTGTGAGAAGGGTACAAAAGTTGGTATTTATCCTGTGCAAGTCACTGACAAGGGAGAATTGCGAGTTGGCTTCAGGTCTTTTTCCCCAGACTATTTCAATGGTGCAATGGAATTCTAGTTTTAAAAAGCTGTCAGCTCATGTGAGTTTGATACATGAGAGAATCTGGTTGTGCATTGAAATGCCTAGCATGTTATGGTACATTGTGGTTTGCTGTGTGCAACAGGTGTTCTAAGTTGAGTGAATTCAAATGCAATAATGTGCACAATGCACCAAATCCAACATTTGAATTGCATTGAGGAGGCTGATAACTGTTACATGTAATCCTTTGGTAACAGGTTCAACCTGTACATCGCGATGGCATGTTTCACTGTGTCAACTGTTGTTCAACAGGGACATGTTAGCAGTGAGCCATCTACATTCTTGGATGGGGTTTTCAAATGCATGGAAAATCCCAGATAATCGATGAGAACTTTGTAGTTTTCTCAGTGTCCCAGTGTTTGTCAGTTCATTTATAATGTGAAATTGCAAAATGTCTGTCTCTGGGACTGAAGGCAAGCAACTAAGGATTAGTTACAAGCTATGTAAGCTGTGTCACTTCCCCATGTTTTTGGTGTAGTTTAGATGATTGTTGACCAATGCAAAAATCTTTAAAATATCAGGTAAGGTGAGCATTCTCCCAAATTCTCTCTCTCCATTTTTCTTCGGTGATTCCAGTTTTTGGTGGTATGTCTTTAATTTTGAATTGGTTTAAAAAATCTGGAATGAGCAGGGTTTGAAATGAAGGCAATCCATTGTACAGAATGTATAATTATTACAAAGGTTTTTATAATTGGTAACAGTGTATTGTAGAAAAATGATCCATTCAAAATAGTCAATATACATTAAGGGGCTCACAGTGACAGTTCACGCAATGATGGAACAGAGAAACGATTCTGTGAAACCCCTTTTATAGTTTTTAATTGCAATTTTACACCAACCTTCAAAAATACAACATCTTAAACTGTTTCAGTTATTGTAAATATTACAAAAATGTGATTCAAATTTGGTTATAATTGCGTTTAGAAGTGTTAGAACAGTTTTCAATTGAGTATTGAAAATAATTTAAGATTGATGTTGTTGTTGTTTGTTTGTTTGTTTGTTGTTTTTTTTTTGCTTCACTTTGTGATTGGGCTTGAAAACTTGCACCAATCTCTCAACCAATCAGATGCAAAACTACAACCAATCACAACTTAGCTGCCTGCGTTTTGTTCACTTAAGGTTTGGTTAGTTGAAATTTGAGTTCTCATTGGCTCTTAACCCTTTAACTCCCAGAAGTGATTAACATAAAACTTCTCCCTACAACATCCATACATTCTTCAGCAAACAGGTAAAGAGAATATTCAAACTTATCAGGTAGAAGCTGCTATCTTGATCTAGCACCAAGTTCTCATAACTAATTTACAACAAAATGTGTAGCAGCTACAGGGGAGAATTAACAATCAGATCTTGGGAGTTAAAGGGTTAAAGGTATCTTCCTTTCTTCTGATTGGTGTTTGTGACTTATTTTTTCCTGCTCTCATCCTTTAGTAAATGAAATAAGTTCCCCTTGTCAGCTCTAGTGGTGAATATGACATGATAAATCTTCAATTTATTAGTGTTCAGTAACCAAACATCAAAATTAGAATAGCTCC